CTCTCAAGACGAAGGGAAGGCTATAGAGGACTGACAGAGGGCGAGAGGAAAGATAAGAAAGGAAAAGGAGGAAAGGAAGAAGAGAGAGAGAGAGAGAGAGAGAGGAGAGAGAGAGAGAGAGAGAGAGAGAGAGAGAGAGAGAGAGAGAGAGAGAGAGAGAGAGAGAGAGAGAGAGAGAGAGAGAGAGAGAGAGAAGAGAGAGAGAGGGAGAGAGAGAGAGAGAGAAAGGAGGGAGCAAAAGAGATATGTGCAAGGTACTGTGGCAGGGAGGAACGCAGATCAAAGGTGACCAGACCGGCGACTCCGAGCAGGAGGTCTGCAGGTCCTAACGGGAGACCAAAGGAGACCTGCAGAAGACCAAAGGAGTAAGGAAGCCATCAGAGTCCAAGGATTACACTCGTCGTGTGGCCGCAGTGACAGTAGTGCGCCTGCATATCAGTCAGGTTATTCCTCGCTGCATCTCTGCTTCGTTTGTCGGTTTGTCTACTCGTAAAGCCGACGGCCGTGCCTAATGCCCATGCTTATTGCTAATCCTGCCTTATCCAGTTCCACTCTCACATTGGGATAGAAACGTTAGCGTTATTACAAGTTATGATCTGCCTCCACATCTTTCTTAGCCTGGTGTATCCACCTACATGCAGATGAAACTATTTTAGAAGTGGAGAAGCTGGTTTATTGAACTTGAATTGCACAAAGAGAGGGTTTTATAAGAAGCGTCCTATATTCTAATGCCTAAATCAACTTTCCCATTTACTTTCCTTTGCATTAAAAATACGTTTACTGAAACGTACTGAGAGGTACAGAACAAGGTAAAACAAAAACACAAAGTTGCCTACAAAAATACAAAGTTGTCTTTGAATAAGTGGACCGTGCTGTTTTACCCTACTCTACAAGTCTCGACTGCTTGGCTGCGTCGGCAGCGGCGGCAGACGGCTCGTCAGAAGCCTATAAAGGGAGCCGGATGTAGTGAATCGGACGGGCGGCCACACCACGCTGTCCACCGCACCTGCCGCCCGGCACCGCCCCCCCCCCCCCCAACGACACGGGTTGGTAGTAGCAATAGTTGATCGGCCTCACCAATGTTCTATGACTATCATATCCTTTCGTGCGTCAAAGCGTCTCAGGGAACAGTAAAGCGATACGAACTGATGGTGTTGTCAGTAGATGTCGCTAGTGGTGAGCGCCTGAAGTGGTATGCTGCACCGCACAGCACCGCAAGGCGCCCGCCGTGGTAGGTATGCTGCACCGCAGGGCGTCATATACACAGCGATAGACACTCTCGTGCAACGTGTTCAAGTGCCTCTCAGCGTGGAAAACAATCCAGCGACGGTTGCCGACCGGCGGGATCCACCGGTTGCCGTTGTAGGAGTGAGGAGGGTCACCCCTGACCCGCAGGGCGCAGTCCCTGGGGCTGCCGCCGGAGCCCCCAATCGGTCGGACGGATACCTACCGCCGAGGTGCGCCGCGCCGCTCGAACCGACGCTCTAATGGCCGCTCGGCCCATTAGGCGCAGATCATTCTCAGAAATTACTGGCCGCCTGACCCGCTGATCGATAAGTGTCCCGGGAGCCGTGCAGTTCGGCGAGAGCTGCCCACTTACAGCGCAGCCGCTGTAACTGAGGGTAGGCGCTTCGGATAGCAAAATTACCAAAGTAATTAACTCCAGAACTGGATGAAAGGTGGTAGAAACCATAAACTACGGACCTGTTCCGACATTTAAAGCGCACATAGGCATGTCCACGTCAGGTATCGCCAGCCGCTCATATGCAGGTTGCGCTAAAAATGGTGAGTGGAACATTGACCAGACCTATGTCTGTTGGGGCAGCCGCCGGCCGGTAGCACGTTTGATCTCCTTCCGTGTGATTGAAAGGTATATCATCACAAGCTGCGCACCGGTGATCATTGCTGCTTTCCGGCCTTTGATGTAATCGACTAATAAATGCACCCTCACGCCAAATGTGTCCATTATCGATTCTGGAGCCATCTGTTGAGCTACCCAGAAATGGGACAAGCGCGTGCAATTGGCCAGATTTGGTCCGATCCGGCAGTGATTTGATTACCTCCCTTCCACATATTTCATCGCCACTGGCCGTCCGCTGACCCCCCCCCCTCCCTCCGGTGGGCAGTCGACTGCGGAGGCGCGCGACCCCCCCCCCCCCCCCCCTCCCCTCCGAGAGGGGGGGGGGCAGCTAATCGCAGAAGACTGAGGAGTGGCGTCGGCCGCCGGAGGCCTGCAAATGGTCCGTCTGCCCCCTGGGGCACGCCGTCACCGCCGGCAGAGCGGCAGAGTGGCCGGCAGAGCGGCGAGAGCCGACAGCACAGCACGCACTGGCGCACAGACCTAGCCGGGAATATGGACAGAAACTTGGGAATATGACTATGGCAAATGACGAGTTATTTGTGGTGAGTTAGCGGCGTAACAAATCATAACGATAATATCTGAAGCTCGCCAAATCAGCATGGCCATGCTAGTCAGTAGTTACAATCATTTGCAACAACAGCATTTGAGTAGTTAGCTGTTAATTGTGAATACATTGCAATGGCAGCCCGGGGTTACTGGACGGGTAACCAGGACAGGCGCTGCGGGGGCTGATAGTCCCATCGCAGCCATCAAATATAACGACCTGGTCGACTGTAAAACCATCCGTTTATGTGGGTGGGTGCCGGACAACCCCGCACGGGGAAATTGCACATTGCACCGGCGGCGACTTACAGTTGAGGTTATTTATGTGTCACCTTTATTTATGTGACTCAGTAGAATAATGGTAAATTCCATGATGATGCACGATACAGGTTTAACTACATAAAGTTGATGTTGCTTTTGATCCTTGCATTATACTTTGAAAATAGGCTATATAGTTTAATGTGCTGTACATAAGTCGTAGGGGAAACCTGCAACGTTTATACCTACATCAATTTAGCGGATATAGTGAGTTCTAGACAGGGTGGGTGGTGACCACCGATGATACGCAAATTACCGCTTACCTGGTTTGATGAAACAGCCTATTTCACCGCTATCCTTACTAAGATGGGCGTTGGGATTGAAACGGGCTGCAATACCTTAAAGTTAAAAATGAGAAGAAGAACAACTTCTTTAAATTCAGCTTTAGCTTGTAATGACTGAGTGTCTTTTGCGCACATGACGACCCCCTCTCACTGCCACCTGCCAGTTGCCACTGTGGCAGGCGGTCTGTGATTGTGACATGTCTCGACAGTGACTGGTTGGTTGTGCCTCCGTGCCCGTTGCTGCCCAGTGCCCTGTCCGTCAGACGCCCAGTGCCCTGGCCATGGTCCACCCACTTCCCTGTCCGTCGGACTATCCAGTGCCCTGGCCATGGTCCACCCACTTCCCTGTCCGTCGGACTATCCAGTGCCCTGGCCATGGTCCACCCACTTCCCTGTCCGTCGGACTATCCAGTGCCCTGGCCATGGTCCACCCACTGCCCTGTCCGTCGGACTATCCAGTGCCCTGGCCATGGTCCACCCACTTCCCTGTCCGTCGGACTATCCAGTGCCCTGGCCATGGTCCACCCACTGCCCTGTCCGTCGGACTATCCAGTGCCCTGGCCATGGTCCACCCACTTCCCTGTCCGTCGGACTATCCAGTGCCCTGGCCATGGTCCACCCACTGCCCTGTCCGTCGGACTATCCAGTGCCCTGGCCATGGTCCACCCACTTCCCTGTCCGTCGGACTATCCAGTGCCCTGGCCATGGTCCACCCACTGCCCTGTCCGTCGGACTATCCAGTGCCCTGGCCATGGTCCACCCACTTCCCTGTCCGTCGGACTATCCAGTGCCCTGGCCATGGTCCACCCACTTCCCTGTCCGTCGGACTATCCAGTGCCCTGGCCATGGTCCACCCACTTCCCTGTCCGTCGGACTATCCAGTGCCCTGGCCATGGTCCACCCACTGCCCTGTCCGTCGGACTATCCAGTGCCCTGGCCATGGTCCACCCACTTCCCTGTCCGTCGGACTATCCAGTGCCCTGGCCATGGTCCACCCACTGCCCTGTCCGTCGGACTATCCAGTGCCCTGGCCATGGTCCACCCACTTCCCTGTCCGTCGGACTATCCAGTGCCCTGGCCATGGTCCACCCACTGCCCTGTCCGTCGGACTATCCAGTGCCCTGGCCATGGTCCACCCACTTCCCTGTCCGTCGGACTATCCAGTGCCCTGGCCATGGTCCACCCACTGCCCTGTCCGTCGGACTATCCAGTGCCCTGGCCATGGTCCACCCACTTCCCTGTCCGTCGGACTATCCAGTGCCCTGGCCATGGTCCACCCACTTCCCTGTCCGTCGGACTATCCAGTGCCCTGGCCATGGTCCACCCACTTCCCTGTCCGTCGGACTATCCAGTGCCCTGGCCATGGTCCACCCACTTCCCTGTCCGTCGGACTATCCAGTGCCCTGGCCATGGTCCACCCACTTCCCTGTCCGTCGGACTATCCAGTGCCCTGGCCATGGTCCACCCACTTCCCTGTCCGTCGGACTATCCAGTGCCCTGGCCATGGTCCACCCACTTCCCTGTCCGTCGGACTATCCAGTGCCCTGGCCATGGTCCACCCACTTCCCTGTCCGTCGGACTATCCAGTGCCCTGGCCATGGTCCACCCACTTCCCTGTCCGTCGGACTATCCAGTGCCCTGGCCATGGTCCACCCACTTCCCTGTCCGTCGGACTATCCAGTGCCCTGGCCATGGTCCACCCACTTCCCTGTCCGTCGGACTATCCAGTGCCCTGGCCATGGTCCACCCACTTCCCTGTCCGTCGGACTATCCAGTGCCCTGGCCATGGTCCACCCACTGCCCTGTCCGTCGGACTATCCAGTGCCCTGGCCATGGTCCACCCACTTCCCTGTCCGTCGGACTATCCAGTGCCCTGGCCATGGTCCACCCACTTCCCTGTCCGTCGGACTATCCAGTGCCCTGGCCATGGTCCACCCACTTCCCTGTCCGTCGGACTACCCACTGCCACTGGCCGCCGTCGTCGTGCCACTGACCTGGAGTCGGGACTGACGCACGACTTGCCCACGCTGAAGACGGAGTGTTTGCGGTGGGAGGGCGGCCGGTCGCTGAGCCACATCTCCTGCAGACTGACGCGGCCCGAGCTCTCCACCAGGCCCGGAGTGGAGTTACACCGGCCCAGCGTCATACCGTTCACGGTCGGCAGCGCGTGCAGCTGCTTGGCTGTGGGGGGGGGGGGGGGCACAGGTCAGAGGCCAGCCGGGAGGGTGGTTCAGACGTCAGGACAGCTGCCATGTCAGCGCGTGCAGCTGCTTGGCTGAGAACGGCAAGAGGGCGCGGGCCAGATACCAGCTGAGGGGGCGGTGAAGATTACAATCAGGACAGGACGGTCGACGTGGCAGTGGTGCAGTCAGTGTTAGTTATTGTAGTGCTGATCACAGAGCATCAGCAGTAGAGACTCAGTTCACTCAGCACTCAGACAGAGTGTTGTAGTTCATGGCTAACATGACACTGACAACTGAGGCACTGCGACCCTTGGCAGCTGGCTGAGGCGGCTACTTATCAGCTCAGACAGGCCAGCGGGCAGCAGCTCCCCGACCAGCTGACAACAGCTCCCGGAGTAGCTGATAGCTTCTCTGGCAGCTGACAACAGCTCCGCGGTCAGCTGACGGCTGCTCCGGGGTCAGCTGACGGCAGCTCCGGCAGCTGCCGACGGTCGAGGTCAGCTGACGACAGCTCCGGGGTCAGCTGACGGCTGCTCCGGCAGCTGCCGACGGTTGAGGTCGCCGGCTGGCGGGCCGATCGATTAGTGCTGTGTGTTTGCCGAGCACTTGGAGAGGCGGCCGGCCGGCCCTCGGGGGCTCGCAGCCACCCACACTGGCCGTGCAGCCGGCCCAATGACGCTGATAATGAACCAGCTCGCTGTCAGGCGTGTATTTAACTACCGTAACCGGTAACACGCCTATCAAATGTGTTATTTGAATGTCAGTTTGCTCACGCAACCCCTGACAGTGAACTGTTTTTAAACGATGAGCCTTTACGTGTGTCTAACGTATCTGTCACATCATCCAATGATATGTTAGCAGCATATATTCTGATCTAAATACCTCTTGTTCAGATGTTCCTTCTGCAACCAAGGTGACCATTTTTGCTCAGTTAAAATATAGCAATGGTCCGTTCACGTATGAGCCCGGCTCGATACGTGCCCTGCCCTCGTGCCCCGCACGTAGGACGGGCGGCGGCGGGCGTGGCAGCCGGCGGCCCGACCGCGGGCCAATCGCAAATATTTGCCCAGCCGCGCAGAAGTCAACAGCGGGCGGTCATTACTGTCTTCTGACGCATATTAGGCGTGCTGGCGGGCAAACAGTGACAATGTAAATGACCTCATTATGGCGGGCGGGCAGGAGCGGCAGGGCGCCGCGCGGTGTCCGGGCGGCGCACACAGCTGTGTCCCGTAGTGTCCGGGCGGTGGAACACAGACATGTCCGGGCGGCGCGCGGTGTCCGGGCGGAGCACACAGCTGTGTCCCGCCGTGTCACACACACGCAGCTGTGTTCCGCCGTGTCCGGGCGGCCTGTATCCCGCCGTGTCCGGGCGGCGCGCACAGCTGTGTCCCGCTGCGGGGCACAGGACACGGCCCAGCTGTGTGCCGGGAACGTCCCTGTCGAGTCACGCCGGGTCAAGGCCGAGCCCTGTCCGAGATCGTGACGGGCTTTACCGTGGTGTTGCGCGATCACAGACCCTTGCATCTACAATTTGTTTGCAGTCATCATCTCACCTCTATCCATCGGTCCCTTTTTGTTTTTCTCTAGGCGTTTGGTAGCGATGGCTTCTAGTCTTACGCGAGCTGCAGGATACTCCTGAAAGGCGACAGCTCAGCTTCAGTATACGGGCATGGCGGATGTGATTTAATCGACTGGTGGGTGGGTATTTAGGAGCAGCTAAATCATATAGGCAGTTCACTGGAACTGGTGTTGATAATGAGGACACTATTGAACTTCTGAATAATTTGCGAATCGATTATAGGGGAACTAACCATTAATCGATATAATAATCGATATAATAATAACTAACCATTGAAAGTTATTTGCCTCAACAGGCCAGAAACAAAAACTAAAAATTTGGTACGCACGGAGAAATCCACTTTATTCTGGCAGATGTCTGGTTTTATCACTCAACATATTACACATATCACGAGCAGAGGCGTGCGCCGTTACCTTGAGCACGTCCCACATGTCCTTTTTGGTGAGGACGAACAGATCACTGTAGCCGACCGACCGCACCGAGGCCGTCCGACGATTCCCTGGGAAAACAGACATTGCGGTCACTGTGCACCGTATACCGTCCACTGTCCACCGTCCACTGTCCCCGTCCACTGTCCACTGTCCACCCGCACCGTCCACTGTCCACCGCATACCGTCCACTGTCTCTCGTCCACCGTCCACTGTGCACCGTATGCCGTCCACTGTCTATCGTCCACCGTCCACAAACCACAGTCCATCCTCCACCGGCTAACGTCCACCGTCTACCAACCAACGTCCGCCGTTTGCCGTCTGCTGTTTAACCACAAACGTTCATCCTCATTCACAGCCCATTGTGACATTCAGACACCGTGAATTTTCAGTTTATCGAGCGCAAAAGCAATGCGCCACCAAGACGGCACATCAGTAACCGTCAGCCTAGATGGACGATAATATCACTCGCAGAAAAAAATCCTGGGCTGGCAACGGATCAGATGCCAACATTTTAGTTATTCTTGTAACACACCGTTCTATGTGGAAAGTGAGCTAGATACTGCTATCTCGGTGCTCAGGTGTGAGTGGGTAATGGTATGTGTATATGATGTGTGATGCTTCATCGTGTGCAGTGCTGCTATGTCTAACTGGGATGCAGCCCAAGATATCACAAGGCACAATTCAGATATGTGTTTAGTCGTCGGGCTCTATTTGGCGTCGCCTTTTTTACGTGCTATCTCGAGAAATACTGAGATGGAATGGACGCTGGTGTGGGGGCCTGGCAGTCCCTGAGCTCGCGGTAAGTGACGCGGTAGCTTCCCTCCCCCCGGGGGTGGTCCCAGAGAGAGAGAGAGTTTGTGCCGGAGACCGGGACCGTCTCCCGGCGGACCTCAGTCTGGTCCACAGTCCCTCCCCCCCCCCCAGCCGAGCTCAGCGCCGACCAAGCGTGCGTCGTCTCCATTGTGTCGTCTGCCGAGCGTCTGTATGCGGGATGTACCCGACACAAAAAGGGCCACCGCCAGCCGCCGCTGGTCCGTCAGAGCAGCGGGACGGGGCGCGGCGCTGTCCGACCGGCCGTCCCGGGCAAACATGGCCGCTTTGTGACCGCCAGACACGCCGGAAAACCGACAGCGCGCGCCTCTAAACCCGCCAGCTAGGCGGAAATTGTGACCAGATGTGCTGCAAAGAGTTGTGATGAAATGCGCGGTAGGGTTCTGTGTATGTTTGGCCACGCGGCAAAGTAAATAACTTCCAGATCTGAGGGCTGGCTGCAGCCGTGGGCTGCGTTTTTAGCCGAGCTTCAGAAACTTTGCATATTTAAACGCAGTCCAGGTAACTACTGAAAGTATAAGTAAATGAACACCGTCGACTGCATCAAATCAAGCTTTTCTCGCTTATGCCTACTGCTGTTGGCGGATATCGATGGGTGTTAAGTGGTGTGTTATTGTATGTGTTTGTTTATGTATTTCTTTTAACGGGCTTACATCAACATTTAGTGGAATATCGGATATTGGACATTAGTGTGCCTATACGTCAGACACAAAGAAGGCGAATGGCTTTGTACATACCTGCCTCGTGTACCGACAAAAACAGGAAAATTGGCGTGAATTATTCGTGTATGGTGCAATGGCATGTGAACACAAAATCATCTGTTGTCGGTATTCACCCGAAACAGCGTGCGTGTTTACCTTTGTCAGTAGATAATTACCTAATATCAGAAAGATCACGCCGCCAAGCCCGCTCCGGTCTCACCTGCCGTTCCCATGTTGAGGATGGATATTTCGCCGAAGTAGGAGCCGGCCTTGAGTGTGGCCAGCACCTGCTTTCCGTCATCTCCCACCACCTGAAGACGACCCTTGTTGACGATATACATGTCCTTGCCCACCTCCCCTGAAATCAGAGCATAGCGGTTACCAGAGCATTAACCCGCGCCGTGCTGGGGGGCGTTTTTACGCCCCCCCCCTCAGGTTTTTCGCAAATATCTCAAAAACGGCGGCGCGCAGCGCCGCCGTTTTTGGTACACGTGTTCCTACATCATTTCCGCACATGTTGTGAAAATTTCAGACCTAGGCCGTTCAAGGTCAGGTCACCAGGTCACGTCAAGTGACCTTACCTCAGAAAAAGTTCAAAGGCTCGCTATAGCTACACCGACTGAACGATCACTTTGAAACTTTCAGCGATTGATATGAGTAACAGTATGTATAAAATGTATATCTCGGATTTTTGATATCTGTGACCTAAGGTCAGGTCAATTTTGCGACCTCTCCATTATAAGTCAATGGGAGAAAATTGAAATGCGCCTCTTTTGGACGAATATCGTTCAAAACGCTCTCAAACATCGGTTCATAGGTAAACATGACACACTGAATAGGAAAAATGCACCTGTGACCCCTCTGTGTGCCCCTGAGGTCATCTCAGGTCATGAACGGTCGCCAGCAGTTTTTTGGCTATAACTTTTGATAGAGACGTGCTAGAGCGGTGAAAACACGTCAGATGTGTTCAGCTCGACGATACGGATCGACTGATATGCAACATGACCCTTTTCGGTCAGGTCATGACCTTGACCTGAGGTCAAATTTTAAAAATGACCTTTCAAGGTCAACGAATAGTTCATTCGACGCGTCTCGACGAGAGAAACACGATGCTGGCAAAAGTAATGTCATGGCGCTTATGAGTCAAAAGTTATTGACGAAAAAACGTTTTTCGTAAAAACGGCTATTTTTGGAGTTTTTGCCCTCTGGAGGCTAAACCGTTGACCTGAGGTCAAATCTGAGGACATTACTCAGAAAGGTCTGTAAAAGGGCTATCGAATGCGCTTTTCCGCGGCGCTGTAGCTCTATCGGTTCCCGAGATAGCCGTTGGCAGTTTCCAAAATGTTGAAATAGTCAACATTTTACCTTTGGTGACCTCTGGTGACCTGACCTTTGACCTGACCCAAAAAATGACCGAAGTGTTTTCGTCCTTATTTTTGACGCTCTTTCGATTGCCGCTTACCGCGTGTCGCTACGTGGCCCAGGAGCCGAGTTAGACGGGGGGGGCGTGAAAACGCCCCCCCCCCCCCCAGCACTCGGCGGAAAGTTCAGGCCACCAGCACGGCGCGGGTTAATGTTTGTTTGTTTGTTTGTTTTGTTGGGTTAGGCCCTTTCGGTCTGACGAGACCATTTCAGGGCTGGAAGGATGATAGGAATGAGGGGGAGACATTGGTCTGGGCAGACACCCTAGAGAGTCGCCGGGGCTGAGCCCGTCCGAAAAGACAGGCCGACCAGCCCCCCAAGCACTCTCTGCACCCGGCTACGGGGTGCGCTCCCTCGGGAGCAGCGGTGCCGCTCCAAGGGAGCAGCCCGCATGAGACAAAGGTGCCTGTCCAGCCCGGAGCAGGGGTTGCGGCGTGGAGGAAAAGGATTTCTGTTTCCTGAGGATGGAAGCGATGGAACGGAGGACCAGAGCATTAAGAGAAGGCATGCACATTATCGCTTCAATGATTTGCTTAACAGTACCGTAAGGTGGGGCTATTTGAGACGGTTTTGTAGTGGTGTAGCAAAATTGGTATGAAATGAAAACTGTCTGATATCCCGCGCCCCGTTGGGCTCTGCCGAGCAACGCGCCCCGTTGGGGGGGGGGGTGGTATTTTGGCCCCCCCCCCCCTAAGATCTCGAGAACCACGCAACCTAGTGACAAGCGGCAAACGGTGTTGGATAGCCCTCTCAGGGAACTACCTTGTGACCCAATTTTATTGACCCAGGTCAAACCGATGACGTCACAGGTCAGGTCAAAGGTCCAATTTTCACCGTTTACAGGCATTTCAAGAAATGCGTTGTAAAATCGAGTAAAATGCATTTCATTGAAAATCATCTATGGGGAAATGTTCTTCAAACACATATTTTGCTATTTGAGGTCACTGATACCAGGTCAGGTCACAGAGGTCAGGTCACTGGGGGGTCACAATATGAAAGTGTCGTGTGATACATGTTTTATGGCCCATTTTACATGACAAATGCGATTATGTGGGTCAGGCAGCCTTTGGGGCCAGCTTAGGTCACGTTTTGGTCAAGGTCAGGTCAAGGTCAGGTCAAGGTCAGGTCAAGGTCAGGTCAAGGTCAGGTCAAGGTCAGGTCAAGGTCAGGTCAAGGTCAGGTCAAGGTCAGGTCAAATAAGATCAAATAAGGTCAAATTTCAAAGTTAATATTTTTGCATCAAATGGGTATTGAATCGATGCAGCTCGTCACGGGGAGTTCAATGGTGGTCTTTGTTTTGCCGTACGGGGTCTAGAATCGCTAAAAATTGAGTTCAAAAATTTGACGTCATCATTTTTGAACAGTTTTTTCGCTATAACTTGGCCAAAAAACGAGATATCGATCTGAAATTTGGTATGTATATAGAACAGCGCAGGGACTATCACATCTATTCCGGTTTTTACGAAATTCGAAAAAAAAAAATTTGGATTTTTTTTTTAGTTTTTCTAAAAAATCATTTTTTTTTAATTTTTGGGGGTCAAAAGCCCAAAATTTTGAAAATCCGAGATAGCAGTTTTGTAGCGCCGTTTTTTTTTTCAACTAGACCATATAAAGAACTTTGAAATTGCTTGATAACTGTAGATTTGGTGAGCGTTTCAAGATTGCATGTTTTTTTTGCTCATTTTTGCTCGAACATGACCTCAGTTTGACCTCAATAACTCCTGACCTAAGGTGACCTAAGACTTGAAATTTGGTGTGAAGGTGTCAAATTGATGCCCGGGAAGGCACTGAAAATTTGGCGGCGCTGCGCGCCGCCGTTTTCTTGCTATTCAGGAAAAACCACAGGGGGGGGGCCAAAATGCCCCCCCCCCAACGGTGCGAGGGATATTGTTTTGTCATTATTGCTCGGGTTGGTGTGGAATCAAACGGTCAATTGCCTGAGCAAAAATGACAAAAAAAATATCAAGTGGTTTTCATTTATAGTGATTTACTAAACCACTACATGCTGTCTCATATAGCCACACTGCCTCAGACACCCCAAGCTTATGGTAGCGTTTTTTATTTCCTTCCAGTATGTTACTTTTTCTCATCGGTGTAGTGAGAAAATGATTTGATAGAGAAAAATGCTTACGGCAGTAGGCTGCAATTTGCAATAACTTTACATCTTTTTAGCGCTAGAATCCCTACAATCCATTAATGTTTAGATAAAAGATTCAAGGAATGTTCCTGTTCCTTGAACAGGAACTTTTAATATGCTCGCTGTTGGGATCTTTGAATGTGCTCGAACGATGTCGGTGACAGTCGACAAAGCTTATCATTTCGATTAAAAGTTTGCAAGCTTTTCTTTGAGGTGCTGACAGTCGTATAAGTTTAGATGCTAGACTAAGCAATCAATCAAAATGCGTGGAACGTTATCAAAAAGCTCACAAGTGCTGTGAGGTAAAACCTTAGTGACTTTGGGTGAGATAATCTAGGCGAATTGGGGTACATGGGGTGGTCGTGTGTGACAGAACAGACAGAGGGCGGCTTTATGTGACTCTGAGTGGCTGTACTTGACTCTGCGGTGGTCAGGAAGCGACTGTCTGTGACTCTGGGCGGCTGTCTATGACTCTGGGTGGGTAGAGGGTGACTGTATGTGACTCTGGGCGGGCAGAGGGCCGCTGCCTGTGACTCTGGGCGGGCAGAGGGCCACTGTCTGTGAATGGATGGCTGTCTGTGACTCTGGACGCTGCCTATGACTCTGAGCGGGCAAAGGGCAGCTGTGACTCTTTGTTGCTGTCTGTGACTCTGGGCGGGCAGAGGGTGGCTGTCTGTGACTCTGGACGCTGCCTATGACTCTGAACGGGCAAAGGGCAGCTGTGACTCTTTGTTGCTGTCTGTGACTCTGGGCGGGCAGAGGGTGGCTTCTGTGACTCTGGGTGGGCAGAGGGCCGCTGTCTGTGACTCTGGACGTTGCCTATGACTCTGTACGGGCAGAGGGCGGCTGTCTATGACTCTGTACGGGCAGAGGGCGGCTGTCTGTGACTCTGGGCGGGCGGAGGGCCGCTGTCTGTGACTCTGGGCGGGCGGAGGGCCGCTGTCTGTGACTCTGGGCGGGCAGAGGGCGGTTGTCCGTGGCGGGCAGAGGGCGGTCGGCGGAGGGCGGTCGCCGGCTGCACTGAGCCGATCGATGCTCTCTCTCTCGGTGCGCGGACCGCGGGCCGGGCCGGGTCGGAGCGCTCCCAGCCGGCTCTGGGGCAGAGCGCAAACCCACGCAGCGCGCGCCACTGCACTGGGAACCGACTGGCAGCCGGGCCCGTGCCGCCGGCTCCACAGCGCGCGAGCCAAATACAGACCGGCCACCGGGGACCAATTATTGCATTTGGGAGTGAAATAGGACGGAGCAGACGCGTCCAAATGAAGACCGAGACCACGCATATGGTTGAGTCGACTGATGTGACCGTGAAGTCAGCGTAGTTGTCGCTTGCTAATTCCTTTATGATAAATGTGGATGAATGCTGTTTTAATGGGATACCGAGTCAGGCGTCTCGCGCACAGTTGTTCGAATCGGAGCTACATCGGCACTTGACTTGCCTGTAAATTGTCTGCTGCTTCCATGCTGAGCAGCCGTTAACACTCTTCAAACACATCATAGGCCTAACTGTATGATATGCTCACTATTTATGCTGCCCAGCAATAAAGTCTCTAATAATACTCTACTTTGAACATATCTAAAAAAATGCCGGTTATGTTTTTACTTTAAAGTACGGACAAAACAAAGGCCCAAAGGCATGTGCTGGAATGAACTTTAAATGATTTTCATAAGTTGAGCTTACTCGTATGCAGTCACACCTTGTTGTTTTATTTGCTAATCATCAGTCTGGTAACATTGGTTTTACAGGCGATGCCACAATAGATCTATCAAACTTTTGCTGAAACCCCGCACAGCTGAGGATC